AAATCTGTAATACAATTTATATATACATACATATACACAATGTTAAAATGATGTTAGAGGAATGTCAGTGAGCTTTATAATCTAATTAATATTCCCAAATTCTTATGCAAAGATACCAAATGTACAACAAACATCTAGAATAAAAAGGCATATCAAATTCAAGTATTAAAAGAATAAATCAACAAAGAAATAAATTAAAGATTAATAAAAATGATGTGTCATTAAACCCACATATTTCCATAATTAACATTTGGGTTTTAAAAATTAATAACTTTATTAATAATTTTGCCATAGTTATAAATGCACAACTCTCTAACGATTAATTTAACAATAATTATAAAATATTTAATTAAACGATATAAAAATTATATAATATATTATGTATACAATATATATTACATAAAAATTTATATATAAATTATAAATTAAACGATAATTTAAAAATAAACTCGTGGATTATGTGCATAAAACATGTTCTTATAAAAGGAAGTGCAGGATAATATAAAAAAATGACTACTGTACGCAGTCTGCATAATTACGCGACGTTCATTGTCATCGCCAAAAAAGTAATTTGGTCATTCTGCTTCTGACGAACCAGCTTGTATACATAATTTGCATAATTATGCAGACTTTGACCATTTACATCGCAGAAAATCGGAATAACCTCTCAGAAATATCCTCCATGGGGGGGCAGTAAAATGGCCACAAATAATTTTAAATTTGAACGAAGCGATATTGATCCAACAATGAACGAATTCGTAAAACGTGCGTCCATTTTGTGCTTTGCAGAATAGGTGAAAACTGCGTCGATTTGACCCTTTATGAATTTCGTCGATATTTTATGCATAAATCGATTAACGATTACCGGATTTATCTTCTAGCGTGGACGATCATTCGTGACATGGTTTAACGCAAAGCGACAAACATAATCGGCTGAAACGTAAAAATAGCAACAATTCAGCTTTTTACAATTCTTTTCCTCTTTTTAAAATAAAAATAGGTTTCCTTGTTAAATATAATAGAAAATATTATTTTCAAATCTTTAGCATAAATTAGGATTAAAATGAACGAGAAATACTTGCTGTGTAAGCTGTAATAATTAGCACTAGAATTATCAATCTGTACTATGTACCTAAATATCATTTACATAGATAAGGATAATTAAAGATTAAAATAATAATAATTGATTAATTAATATTAACTTTTCCAAAAGAAGCTGCATATTTTTAGTAATTGGCGAAATAAGAATATAAAAATAAGAAGTATGATAAAATAAAATAAAAGTAAAATGAAAATAGGAAGTCTATAACGAGTAATTTTCATCCTTTTGGTAATTATAGTGTTAATTATGTATGTATAATATTGCAAAAGATATGAATACTAGTATGGAAGTTTGAAGCAAGGAATTAATTACTAGGATAGTTGTAAAAATAAATAACTAACGTTCGTAAAAGTATTGATCAGGATCACTTAGTTCAATTCGTTTCTACACTGTTACACTGTTATAGTTCCTCTACTCTCACAGATTTCTTTATTCTTGTTTTGAAATTTGTCTTAAAACAATAGTAATTTTTACTAGTAGGGACATTGTTATTTACAGTGTTTAATGAAGAATTTGTGGAACTCTGAAGCTCATAATAGTAGTATTTCTGAAATAGGAGTAATTTTATTAAGTATTTTATCTAAATTCCACGCGTGTGATTTTCAAGCAATATTTAAACAATTGGACGAATTAAATGAATATGAGATAATTTGAAGATTGATAATTTAAAAAATGTAAAAAAGAAAAAATAGGAAACCTTATATCTCATTTCTTTATCTTATATCTCCTAAAATGTCATAACTTTAATATATATTGGAGGAAAATTGTAAAGGAAGACTACAGCAATATTATATAATTTTATTACAAATGAGTGTCTCAGAACTATTTGTATGTAATTTTGTGTGTTATTATTGCTATAAGTAGTAGAATTAGCGAACTGTAATATCTACGTAAGTTTAGTATATTACATAGATAGTAACAATTGGAATATATTCGAAGCAATGAAGTTGTTATAAAAATAAATATTAATTTTGTCCAAGGTAGATATATAATTTTAACAATTTCGTCTAATTTAGTAGTTTTGCTTAAATTTCAATACCAAATACTACATTTTTATCTATTATTATTTACAATCTATTTTTTACAGTAATATTGATTTCTGTGAAACTTTAAAATACATTAGAAAATTATAAAGGAAGACTACAGCAATATTATATAATTTTATTACAAATAAGTATCTGAGAACTATTTGTATGTAATTTTGTGTGTTATTATTGCTATAAATAATAAAATTAGCGAACTATAATATATACGTAAGTTTAGTATATTACATAGATAGTAACAATTGAAATATATTTGAAACAAGTAGGTCCATACAATGAAGTTGTTATCATAAAGATAAATATTAATTTTGCCCATAAGTAACTGTATAATTTTAACAATTTCATATAATTTGGTAAACTGTATAATTTTAATAATTTCATCTAATTTGGTAGTTCTGCCTACATTCCAATACCAAATACTACCTTTTTATCTATTATTATTTACAATTTATTTTTTACACTAATATTGATTTCATATTATCGAGTTTTAATAAATTCAAAGAAATTATATCAATAACCACTTTCACGTTAGTAATACAAGACCGAAATCGAACACTGAAACAATATACTTATTTATATGCAAAATTCATCTGCGAAAAATCCATGAATGGCAATAATTGAAATCAATAGCAATTTATTCACGAATGAACTCTTTTCATTTACACCTCTCGATTCGGCTGAAAAAAGCCTCTTTAATCGACAGTTACAAAACGAAGAGGTAAAAAGAGACCTACCTAACGAACTCACTCTAACAGATCTCCGGTTTCTCATCATCGCTGGCTAGGCTGAAACCGCAGTGGTCGAAGAACTCTTGCATTTTGCTCGTTCGATTGAATTTCTTCCCTGGAAAATCGACTTGAACTCTATTCGGTCGACCGTACCAGAGATTAGCAGTCATTGGAACCTTGTGACCTCTGTTCTCCTTCGAGATTTCTAACCAATAGAGACTAGGCTTGGTGCGATCGCATCGCGGCTTGGCCGCGTCGTAACCATCCACTCTGTGAAGGCGCTCGTACGCCGATTTTCTGCTCTCTTCTTTGTTATTGTTAAAATACGAGATCGAATGTCGCGGAGCGAATGGTTCCAACTGAAATCAATTCTATCTCCAATTCTCTCTCCCACATGTACTGGGTGATTCTTAACACTAGAACTACCGATCTTTAGTGGGTACCTAACAATAACGTGCACAGATTATAGTAATCTCAAGCGATACGACGAATATGAGTGAATATATCGATTACAGTTCTTTCTTAATATGAGTTGATACCAATTTTATTCTTAAAGCAGGTGTATGTGTTCGGTGATTGCAAAAAGGAAAATTCTGGGATCAGTCATTTTCATTGGGTTGGTAGTTCTAGCGTTATGTTATTATTGCTATAAATAATAAAATTAGCGAACTATAATATATACGTAAGTTTAGTATATTACATAGATAGTAACAATTGAAATATATTTGAAACAAGTAGGTCCATACAATGAAGTTGTTATCATAAAGATAAATATTAATTTTGCCCATAAGTAACTGTATAATTTTAACAATTTCATATAATTTGGTAAACTGTATAATTTTAATAATTTCATCTAATTTGGTAGTTCTGCCTACATTCCAATACCAAATACTACCTTTTTATCTATTATTATTTACAATTTATTTTTTACACTAATATTGATTTCATATTATCGAGTTTTAATAAATTCAAAGAAATTATATCAATAACCACTTTCACGTTAGTAATACAAGACCGAAATCGAACACTGAAACAATATACTTATTTATATGCAAAATTCATCTGCGAAAAATCCATGAATGGCAATAATTGAAATCAATAGCAATTTATTCACGAATGAACTCTTTTCATTTACACCTCTCGATTCGGCTGAAAAAAGCCTCTTTAATCGACAGTTACAAAACGAAGAGGTAAAAAGAGACCTACCTAACGAACTCACTCTAACAGATCTCCGGTTTCTCATCATCGCTGGCTAGGCTGAAACCGCAGTGGTCGAAGAACTCTTGCATTTTGCTCGTTCGATTGAATTTCTTCCCTGGAAAATCGACTTGAACTCTATTCGGTCGACCGTACCAGAGATTAGCAGTCATTGGAACCTTGTGACCTCTGTTCTCCTTCGAGATTTCTAACCAATAGAGACTAGGCTTGGTGCGATCGCATCGCGGCTTGGCCGCGTCGTAACCATCCACTCTGTGAAGGCGCTCGTACGCCGATTTTCTGCTCTCTTCTTTGTTATTGTTAAAATACGAGATCGAATGTCGCGGAGCGAATGGTTCCAACTGAAATCAATTCTATCTCCAATTCTCTCTCCCACATGTACTGGGTGATTCTTAACACTAGAACTACCGATCTTTAGTGGGTACCTAACAATAACGTGCACAGATTATAGTAATCTCAAGCGATACGACGAATATGAGTGAATATATCGATTACAGTTCTTTCTTAATATGAGTTGATACCAATTTTATTCTTAAAGCAGGTGTATGTGTTCGGTGATTGCAAAAAGGAAAATTCTGGGATCAGTCATTTTCATTGGGTTGGTAGTTCTAGCGTTAAGTGCATATTAACCCTTTGGACTCGAAGATTTCTTCATTGTGAAGATGCAATTCGAAGCTCTTCTTAGATTTTTATAAGCTCACTGATACTCTTCATGCTAAAATTAAAAAAAGAAAATCGTGAATTTGCGTAAGAAACGAATAGGATAATTTTATTTCGATGTTCTTAATATAATTATCATCATCCATTATTTAAGTTATGGTGTTAAGACAAACGGTGACTGAAAGTCACCCCTCGAGTGCAAAGGGTTAACTCACTCGCGCCACTCACGATTAATTCGTCACTCAAACTGTAGATTGTTTTTTCAAAAGCGAGTTACATTCGTTACAAATTAATTTTAAAACGAGTGGGTTGCTCATAGAAACGCGATAAATATTTCCATTTATCTATAGAGATGCCATAAATTATTTAAAAATTTAAGGAGTTTCATGTGAACTCAACTTCTTTTTTTATTTCGAGATTTACGTAAAACCAGGTTTTCAGGCATCAAGTAAATATAAACTGATTTTATATTTGAATTTTCTCTTATTCTTCTAGTCCCTGTACTATATTTTATATATGTATATGTTACATATATAAATCTACTTTTAAAAGAATTATTATAAAATTGTATTTATTTATTTGTTTTCTTGCGAAAAGTTTTCAAAATAGAAAAATAATAATTTCTTCAATATGAATGTGATTTAATATAATACTTTTTAGATTTTTAAGTTTAAAACACGGAAGGTTGAGAACCATTGATAATTACAAATTAAAATTATAAATTATTATGCAACGAAGTAACCTATGACATTATTCAAAATTTTCTAAGTATATCCGTTAATCAAAAATTTGTATTATCTTTTCCAACATAATTTTAACATTCGGCTTCAGACGTATTAGATTAATGTTTGCACGAGGGTTGGTTAACATTAACATTTTTATTATGTAGTTACCTAATGTAATTACAATTTAAATATTTGTTTCTTATTGATAATAACATTTAATAATAAAAAGTAATACAATTTTTCGATTTTCACATATTTCTAAATATTTTATCGAAACAATGTAGAAAACAAATAAAAATAACAGCATAACTTTAACAATTTCTTAATTCTATTAACAACATTAATTTTATTGCTACTTTATTGCAACTTCTATTACTAACAATATTAAAAATTCATTGTATATATTACAGACGTTGATAGTATACATAATATGTAACAAAATTTTATCTATAATAGATAAAAAAATATTTTATCTAATTTCTTATATCTTAAAATATCAATATAATAATAAATATAACAAATATCTGTATAAAATAAATGTATATGCGAAATCTATGTATGTAATAAATAAAAACGTGCAAAAGTAAAAATACAAAAATATAGTAACTAATCATGTAAAAATATAATCAAGTACACATACTAATAAATATAATTAAATCTGATATAATATAATATATTAATATAAACTAATATAGTTAAAGCAACAAATATATATAACTATAAATACAATAAAAGTATGAAAAAATAAAAATATAATAAATAAAAATACCGAGACGTAATAAATAAAAATCAAATTTAAATATAATAAATCCACGTTTATAAATATTCTCTCTTTATATCTGTCTGTGCAATTTATTCCCCGGAAACAGAGATGCATACATTTAAAAATCACCCTATGAACACGCATGGGACAGTTCGATACTTAATCCAAGATAAGCTCGCGCACCATCATCCGAGATAACGGTATCGAATAGCTGCAAAGAAAATTTCATCCCGGGTGATAGATTTCCGGGCACGACGGGAAATGGTTTTTCCGCGTCTCACGGGGTTGTCTCGGTTTAACGTGAACCAACTATCCCCGGAACAGAACGTTCGAACATCGCTCTCTCGACGTTAATTATTAAACTCTTCGTTTGGAAAGTTCTCTTACCACGGGATATTGCCTCGATGCTCTTCGAATGTACTCCTCTTTCGCCCGCATCTGCACCCAAGGAATGACGTATTCCGTCCGATCCATTTTCTTATCTCCCTTATCTTTAACACGAGGCACGATTTACAATTGTGGCAATTAACTGCGAATTTCCAGATGTCACCGGATTAAAACCATCCTGTCCACGAATATCGAGTAAACTGAAGCTGTCAAGAATAACATTTCGTTAAACAAAGGATACCGAGAAAGAATATGAAATTCGTTATCTTACCTGAGTGTATAACACGAATGTAACACGAATATAGCTCGGAATAAGGAAAATTCATCCCGAAAGGATCGATTGTCACAGAATAAAATAGTGTCTGATAGAAGAAATAAACATAGAGGTTAACTTTGTCACGAAACTTCGTAATTCTGCGAAAGCTTTTATGTATTTATGTGAATGGAGTGTTTTATTGATATACATCTTGACACACGGATTTTTCTTGTTAAGATACTTCACAGGAGACAAAGAATGGTTTTAATAACTTGAAACACGCGGAGAGCGAAAATAAAATTGTTTAACAAGTGCCACGACGCGCCATCTCACGAAATACGCAACAAGTTCTCCCGGGTAAATCATTAGTTCGGCGATTTTGTGCCATGCGGCGCTGCTTGTATAATTCCTACTAGTTTCCGCGGAAGTGAACATAATCGAAATTAAATTGAAAGAGTCTCTTAATTAATCGCGGTAAAGAGCGCCCGATAAGCTGCAGCATAGTTTTCCCTTACGGTTCTGGCCTTTGGTCAACTTTCATTAACTTAGTTTCGAGCGATTCGTTTAACATTTCACTTCATCATTCGTGTGCTTCCGCCGTTATGCTTTCTTTTCCATTCTGAAATGTTTTCCTAATGATTTGCAAGGAAAGATTCGATTATAGATATACAGTATTATATTATAGATATATAGTTCGATGAAATCTTTCGTTTTCTTTTACGTTTAGAATTTTCGATAATGGCTTACGATTGACAGCATTCCAATTTACAGTCACTGATCTAACAAAAGCACATAGATACTATTAATTTCCATTAATAGGGTGACACTTAACCTCAATCGACAATCGTGCAAAATTTTTTAAATAAATAAATATATATATTCCAGGAATTGATAAAAGTAAAAAATTAACAAATTAAATAATTAATATATAACAGTACGATTAAAAATTATTCTATATTTACGAAATATTCGTGTTAATAATAACAATTGTCATAAATAATACATTAATTAAGACTGGTCTACGTCTAAAATTTTTAATAGTGGCTCATGATTGAGAATATTCAAATTTAAAAATAGAATTGTACTAAAACACCAAAGCATGTACTTACTTTTACTTTTTTGTAATTACGTTATCACTTAACCTCAATGAACAATTATGACAAATTTCTTACATAAATATATATACTTTACTGACTACACAAAAATGGTAGAGTGATGATAAATAATTAAAGAGCAGAAATAATTAAAAATTATTTTGCGTTTACGAAATACTTGTATTAGTAATAACGTGCCATACATATTATATTAATCAAAACTGGTTTATGTCTAGAATTTTTGATAATAGCTTATAATTAAGAACATACAAATTTAAAAGTAACATTGTTTTACAAAAACATCGGGGTATGAACTTTCTTTTATTGAATAATTAAATTATCACTTAACCTCAATGGACAATTATAAAAATTTCTCACGTAAATATATATACTTTACTGACTATACAAAAATAGTAGAGTGATGATAAATAATTAAAGAGCAGAAATAATTAAAAATTATTTTGCGTTTACAAAATACTTGTATTAGTAATAACGTGCCATACATATTATATTAATCAAAACTGGTTTATGTCTAGAATTTTTGATAATAGTTTATAATTGAGAACATACAAATTTAAAAATAACACTGTTTTACAAAAACATCGAGGTATGAACTTTCTTTCATTGAATAATTAAATTATCACTTAAATTAAATTATCACTTAACCTCAATGGACAATTATAAAAATTTCTCACGTAAATATATGTACTTCGTGACTGAATAAAAATGGTAGATTAATCATAATTAACATATAACACGAATAACTAAAAATTACTTTACATTTACGAAATATTTCCATGAATAATTACAAGATGTAACAAATCTATTATGTAGGAGTTTCTTTGTACGCTAATTAAGGGGTGGTGAACCATAAGAAAAATGAAACGCGGAGAAGCCATAAACACATAACAAAGGAACGGAATTCCTGGAAATTTCATTTCCTCGTAAAGCAGAATAACTGCGTAGATACATAAATACAAATTACGTATGCATATTGCTACAGATTCACACAGTGTGCCTCAAGCGTATTCCATGGAAGGTAGAACTGAATACAATAAGAATACGTATGTTAATGTTTTCTCTTGAACGATTACATTTTATGTTCACGCGTAACATGCATGCATAGGCATCGCATATATTCAACACTGTTAGAGCAAAAGGGCAGGAGTACATCCTCGAGAGAACTTGTTTATTCATTCTTATTTCTGAGTAAAATGTCACGTGTCGTGGCATCTGTGAAACAATGAGTGTACGAAAGAAGGAGTCTGCTATTCAAATTTGTGGCATTCGTGAAATTCAAATGAAAGTATTAAGCCATTCTTAGAAATAATAACGTATTACGTTAATCTCGTGTTATATAGGGTGTTCCACTTAAATGAGATCAACTAAATATCTGCCTTATTTTTACTGTATGAAAATACTTTCTGGGACAAAGTTGCACGGTTTCAATTACTATATATAATTATGACAAGATTTTATTCTATAATTAATTTTTTTTTTTTTAATGAGATTGTAAGGTTATTGGTATTTATTTCATTGGTTTATTAGTTTCTTCATACAGCAAGAAATAAAGAAGATACTTAGGTGATCTCATTTGGCTGAGACACCCTATAGATAAGAATATAACGTAAAAAATATAAACCTGAAATTTTGAAATTTTGAACATTAATTTTGTTAATTGATAAGGATAATAAGAAATATGTTTAAAATAATAATTTGCAACATTAACAAATATTTTAATGTAAGATGTGGATTAAATTAATTTATTTAGATAAATGTATTGAAATTTTTATTTTGCACTGCGAGGGTCATGATAAGTCTGGCATAATATTAAGTAAATATATCACGTACCTTCATGTGTATACAGTCTATCCCAAGTTTTAACAATAAAACGTGAGTCGAATGTATGAAAATATTTTAGACAAACATTGTCACTTCGTTTCCAGAATATAAAGTTGCGAAGTTATTTGTAATTGTCGAAAGATATTATTTGACCATCAAATAAAACTAAAGAATTTTACATTTTAGTACCGAGGTGTTATTTTCGCGGAAATTTTATTATAGGTGTTGTAAAAAGTTAGAAAAATTTTCGAAATAAATGTTACTTTTTATTCTTTATATATATGTTACAAATAAAATAGTTTTTATACACTATACACAATATCCTTTGTATTATATACGCAATTAATAACATTTTCACGCCGATTCAATTATGATTTTCATATTCTCAATCTGCTTTTAAATTTTGGCAAATATTTACAATTTTATAATTGTAATTCCCAAATGTATATCCAGAGAATTACATCTGAGTATAGTGCATTGGATAGCACTATAATTTTATTAAAATCAATCATTTATAGAAACGAAGTTGCAACAATTGTTTATTTAAAAACTCTTCTCTTATTTTTAGATTTTTTTTTCACTTTCATTATCTGCAATAAAATATGTTATAATCGTCCAAAATTTGAAAAAACTTGGAGGAAAAATAGAAAATTATTTTATTCATATTAGTTTTAAGACTAATGTAAGTAGATCATATATTTAATTACAATACATTTTGTTAAATTATTGTTAATCTTAGACTTTCAATTAATTATCATATTATACGTATAATTTTCATAAATACCAAAATTTGATTATGTCAACAAAAATATTATCCTACACATTTGCATACAAGTATTAAAATTAAGTATGTTATTATTAAAGTTACTATGAAAAGTTATTATTAAAAAATACCTCGAGAAATATGAAAAATTTGGAAAAGTGCTTGGAACAAAAATTGTTCTATACGATTATGAAATGATCCTGAAAGCACAATGAATGTTACATTCAAATCTTATCTAAAGTTATTATTAAAAAATATCTCGAAAAATATGAAAAATTTGGAAAAGTGCTTGGAACAAAAATTGTTCTATATGATTTTGAAATGACTCTGAAAGCACAATGAAGGTTACATTCAAATCTTTAAATTTTTAATTAATATAGAGTAATCTAAAATATTTACTATATTTTTATTGCATATTCCTTTAACAATTATTGAAACTTATTCAATACACAGATTATATAATTCCATCTAAAACATTTTTTCGAATCTTTCACATTTTTCGAGATATTTAGTAGTCGCATTCAAAACGGCCACACTGTATATTATTCGCGTTAACAGATAATTTTAAATTCTTAGAGACGATTTATATCGATCAATTTTCTTTTTTTTTTTTTTGCCTCGTCGATTAAAGAAAGAAAATCTGAATACAAAAATTTCTACGAAACGAACGGCTCTTATAATTCGCGGACCAAGATCGAAACTTCAGCTTCAAAAATTAGCATCGAGGTCCCGATAAACTGTAGCGATACATTTGCGTAATTTTCATTTACATTGGACGCTGCTGCGTCGAGTTCGTTACGATATGCATCGCGTCGAGTGGAGCGGAGTCGAGTCTAATCAAACTGAACCGAACACGGAACGCGGTTAATCGTCTAATCAAATTAGTAGAAACAGATGTCAGGGATTAGCTGAATATCTGACCCATCCATGAATCACGTTTTACCGTTTACCGACGATCCCTATGGCTTCTACAGTGTTTCATTTTTCTTCCTCAACTATGGTAACCTTATCTTCTAAAATTTCACGTTAACCTCTTCAGGGACGAATTCTTTTTTTTAGTTAACGTTACTATGATTTCAAAGCAGTAATTATAAAGTAAAATTACCGCTATTGGTGATAATATTCGACATGG